CTCCTTTTATAGAGAAGACATTTATTTTGTAACTCTCATATTCATGATCTATATGAGTTGAGATCCAACTGCAACTCTTGTCTTAATTCCTTTAAGTGCAGCTAATTAAAATTAACAAGTTGTCACCAAATTGTTAATCCTATGTAATGAGCTAAACATGTTATTAGTTCACTAATAACTCACATAATAAGATGTCATCCAAGCGTTCCCACAATTTGATAAAAAATATTTAGAAATTAAATAAACTTTGTATTTCTATAATATAAAATCGAATTCTTACAAAGCATTCAAATACACTACTGGGTTTTTCTTCCATTGACACTAGATTTTTTTTTTCAATCTAATATTTTATTAAAGCTAAAAAATGGATCCAAGTATATGGTATTGTCTCATGTTAACCACATGAGATTTCACATGTAGCTTTTGTACCATTATTGAAAAAGTAAATTTCCTAGATAAAAGGGCCTCATAGGCCACATTTCTAACAAAATCACTTTGAGCTTTTATAGCTCAACCCTAACCACTCTACTTCCATCTCCAATGATTTTTTCTTCCGATCTTGGCATCCAACAGCAATTCAAACCGAAGAAATCCGAATAACAGCAATCCAAACCACACGCTGCAATTCGGGAAATCCATGGTTAAAACTTAAAACCCAAAAACATGTTATTCCTACCAAGAAAATGTAAAGCGGCATTTGAAGCCCGAAAGATTTTTTTTTTTCTTTTTGGGGGGAAATAAACTCGACAATACATTTGGTGAAACAGCTCAAATGCCAAAAAAAAAAAATTGATTTATTTGATTGGAAGGTGATTTCTGAACCTTAATCGCTACATTCCTAAACCCGGACAACTTCCCCTAGATGTTGTAAGAATAGAATGGATTTATACGTCACCAACATTGCAACATGAATCGAATACATAGCATAGGCAAATAAATTATGACTCAAAATACTGGACCTACAAATTCCAAATACCTGTATTTGTTTTTTCTATTTTTTTTTTGGACTCTAAAGTCTCTTTGGAAATTTTTATACTTCAAACAGCTCCACAACAATTTTTATGGGAGCAAAATGCGGTTCGATATCCGCAATGTGGGACCAATTTCTACAAAGCGGCCCAAAATTGTGTCAGTCGAAATGATTTTTGCTTTCCAAAATTAGTTCAATGTTAAGAATATCGAACCGTAATTCTTGTGGTGTGTGATTCATGCTTTATTTATTGTATTTTATTTACCAAAAATCAGCCCATCGGGTTTGGAGCTTCCACGCACAACAAGTAGTATTAGAGCCCGATTTGGGGTTTTCGGTATGACAGTAAAGACAAAGTACGAGGTGGAGAAATTTGATGGCAAATATAATTTTGGAATTTGGCATCAATGTTTGGGATTTGGTAGTGCAACAAGGTCTGCATAAAGCTTTGAAATGAAAGTCGAATAAACCAGAATCCATGTCTGATGAGGATTGAGAAGACTTAGATCTGAGGACTATGAGCACTATTCAATTTTGCTTATCGAGAGAATTACTATTTAATATCGTCAATGAGGATTCGACATCAAGTCATTGATCGAAGCTTGAGAGTTTCTATATGACAAAGCCTATCACAAATCGAATGTTTTTGAAGCAAAAACTGTACACCTTGCGAATGAATGAAGGTACAGATACTCATGAACACCTGGATTATTTTAATAAAATTATTTGTGAATAATTTGAATATTGATGTTAAAATGGATGATGAGGATAAAGCTAAAATTTTGTTATCCTCACTCCTTCATTCGTAGGAGCATCTAGTCACAACATTGCTCTATGAAAAAGATACCATAGAGATGGAAGATGTGACTTTGACTCTTATCTCTAATGATTTGAAAAGAGATAAGAAAGTCAGGGCAGGTTTGGATCCAAATAAAAAAAAAAAAGTAATATTTGTTGCAATTACTGTATGAAAAATAGGCATATAATAAAATATTGTCAAAAACTCAAAGAGAAAGAAAGACAAGTTTCTAAAGCCATCAATATAGTTGATGAAAGCTCGGTAAGTGGAACAGCTAATGTGTCATCGATCTCGACAAATTGTGACAATTCTAAAGACTCGTGGGTTTTTTATTCAGGATGGTCCTATTATATATGCCATCATCGAGATTGGTTTACCATATACAAGAACATTGATGGTGGATCAGTTTTGATGGGAAATGATGTAACTTGCAAAATCATTGACGTCAGGACAATTACTATCAAGATATATAATGGAGTTGTGAGAACCTTGACTGATGTTACACATGTTCTTGATCTGAAGAAGAATCTTATCGCTTTGGGTGCCTTAGATTCCAATGGCTGTAAAATGGGTACTCTAGTTGTGATGAAAGACAAGATTAGATACTGCTTGGAAATACTATCACAGATAGAGCAACAGTTTTCGTATCAGATGATGATGCATTTTAAAGAAGAGAGCTTCCTATAGAGAGAAATATTGTAATGGTGCATTTGAAGAATCCTTGAGGTTGAGAGGCTTGTTTCATGTAGAGAAACGATTTCCATAAAGATTTTGGGTGGCTCCCTTTTTAGTTAGAGAGAAAGTCAGTTCTCGTTACTCTCACGTCTCTAACTGGTGTTGTTCGTAATATTTGTCAGAAATAAAGAGAAGGAAGGAAGAGTGGTTTAAAAGGGGTTTGTTTGACTCAATTTTTTTGTCAAGATTAGAGAGGTAGCTCTATATTCCAAAATTTTTGATGTAACTTTCATTAGTATAGTGGATATTTGTTTGACGCGCCCATAGGGCCCTTTTAGGATGAACCACATAAATCTTTGTGCTTGTGATGTGTGACACATGCTTTATTTCTTGTATTTTATTTGTCAAAAATCAACCCATCTGATTTAGAGCTTCCACACACAACATAAGCATAAGCAGTAAGAAATTCATAATCCTATGCGACTTTATTTACGATTTTCGAATTTATGGGCCTCATCGAAATTGAACTTTTGAACCACCCTGCAACCAGGGCCAACACGCATTCCTAATCATTAGGTGCCCATTGGACCCAAAAGGGCGGTCCAGAAATATCAACATCAAAACACTCATGTGGTTCAAGGTTCCTACCTTTGTATTGGGGGACGTTTCGAAATATGGAGAATCTAAGAAGTAAGACCCCAACATAAATTACTCCAAAAAACATGTTTTCTAATCTTAAATAATAATAAAAAAATTATATAATGTTGCAATAATCTATATTTTCCATTTTATTTGGATAGAGAAAAAATTTATATAAGGTTGCAACTTTAAAATGTAGAATTACAGATGCACCTCAAAAATATATCGAAAAAGGTTGTTTCAATGTTGAAAAAACTTATAATTGATCATCTCGAAATCGAGATGTACGAATATAAAAAATAAAAAATAAAAATAAAAAGATTTTGAGTTCAAAAAATAGTGCATCTTGCAATACAATATCTAAACCGTCCATTTTCGAGATTTTCATATTTTAATAGATCTAGTTGATTTTAAACATTTTTGGAGTTCGAAATTTTATAATTAGATATGAAAATAGATTTTGTGATAACCGTAAGAATTTTTTTTACACCAAAATTACAGATAAAATTTGGAGGTGCGCCTTAATTGGATATTTTAAGGTTTCAACCTTATAGAAACTACACTCAGGGGACCGTTTGGATACATGGAAATATATTGTCTGTGAAATATATTACTGGCGTAATATATTACTTCGTAATACATTACCTGCAAATGGATTGTTACTGTTTGGGGAGTATTTAGATGCAATCTAGGAAATATATTGCTACTGTTTAGCTATATCTTGGAGAAATATGGGAAATGCATTACCTAACATTTTACTAGCACTTACTTATAAATTATCATTTCTTTCTTTTTTGTCACAAAATTCCACTGAAATGTGGAATTAAAGTTATCATCACACCATTCCAAAAATATTTTCTGATAATAACATCATCACCATTCCAAAAAGATTTTTTAATAATAATTTGTATCATTCTAAAGCTATCATCACACCATTTCCTACTTATTTTGCATGCCTTTGGCACTTTAATAATAATTTGTATCATTCTAACATGATTAGACTTTGGTTTCAATATGATAAGTCATTGGAATAATATGATTAGAATAACATATTTTTATTATGATAAGTCATATTTCTATTTACTTTTTATATAAATCTTTCAAATGTCTTTATATATTTCAAATAGGCAATAAATTTATGATACCAAATTCAAAATCTTTATGGTACAAGTTAAAAATAAAAAGAAGTTTGATTGGTAAACTAGAATGTTTGGTAATAGGGTTTATCTATTCTAAAATAACTGATTAAAGATAAAGTATCTTATGCAAACCAGTTATTAGGGCTCAAGAGAAAGGGCGGTTTAGAGGAAGATATAAACTAATTATTATGGCTCAAGAACAGAGAGAGCATGGCTTATGGGCGAAGAGAGAAGCATAGCTTTCGTAAATTCCTTAGATGAGTTTGAGAAAGTAAAAATAGCCTCAGATTAGTTTGAGAGAGAAAATAATGGGGGGTTGGTATCTCTTTTAAGCGGGGATAGAGTAGAACGAGACGTGCACGAAAGATTTCCAAAAAATTAGGGAAATCTCGGTAATGTTTGATAATTTCTTTTCATTTCCTTTATCCAAACAATACAAATGTCATATTTTTTTTGTAATCTATTGTCATGTAATAGATTTTCAGACACCCAAACCGCACTCAATATATATTGCATACATCTTAACGCCCTCCGTATATATTGGATACATCTTAAAACAATGTAATCGTCTAAATAAAATTGACTGTGTAGACCATCAGAACGTTATTTGTACCAATAAAATTGCAACATTATACAAACCGCACCCAAAACTGAATCGAGGAAGTTTTTCTTCTATGTTCTAACTTCTAACCATCCTGTCTTAGTACCACATTACGGTCCAGTGCCCCAACGCTATTATGTTATAAATGATAGATAATGCTATTTTGTAACCAACCAATGATTAATTTAACATTTTATTTATCTTGACTTTCTCGCATTTAATTTTATCTGCACTACCAAAACACAAACTCTCTTATAGAAACTCTTGTGTTTTAACTGTAATAGACATACACAAAGAGCTAAACGCTCTTCATGCATTAACACGGGCTTCCAAACACAAACCCCATAGGAGCTTCTCTAACTATAACGTGCATATAACCAGCATTATAATAAGATGTTACAGTTAAGCTCTCTAAGTTTCATATGTACCATCTTATCATATCTCTCGCTCTCGATCCCAACAACTATAGGTTCAATGTTGTACATCAGAGGCGAGAGAGTTGTTGAACATTGATAGGATAAACGTCATCTCTAGAAGAAGAAGTGTAAGCCCTGAGCGCAATTCGCATATTAACCGCTTGTGTCTGGTGCAGCCCGTCAAAATATACGTAGGTGTTCCTCGCGATGCATGGCTTGATCCCCTTCTCACACAAAAAACCCCTAGTTTCCATAGACAATGCACAGCAAGGCTCCCCTGTAACTTTGAATCCTGAACAACACAAATTCCTTTGTCATGTGTTTCTTAATGAAAAACTTGGTAAGGATTGAATTAGTTTAGCTCCCCTGTAACTATGAATCCTGAACAACACAAATTCCTTTGTCATGTGTCTTCTTAATGAAAAATTTAGTAAGGATTGAATTAGTTTAGCTCCCCTTTATATCCATAAGCTCCTCAACCGCTGCTCCGTCAGCCATTTGATGTTAAAACTGGACGGTTTGCTGTGGAGTAACATTCCCCATCTGCTAACCGTCCATTTCTCGCATCTAGCGGTTGAGGGACCAAGTTATTTCCCTACATGATATAAGAGGTGCTATAGTATACTTTTTTTTTTGTTTGTTAAAATTTAGGAAAAGTATAGAGCGAGACCATTTACCTTTAATAGAAAGTGGTCACAATTAATATTGGCCATTGGATGTACAATTGGGTGGCTATATTTATTTCATCGACGAAGCTCAAACTTCAAATGAAATTTTTTCGAACTTTGTGACACACCAAGCCATCCAATTTCGCATCAGATGGTTGTAAATAATTGTGACCACCTCGTATCAAAAGGTAAAACGATCTCACTGTACACAGTCCCTAAAAGTAAAAACCATAATAATCGAGTAAAAGCACACGTGTGTGGAACTGACAAATCTACCTCTCAGTTTGTAGGCAGCAAAATGAAAAACACTGCTTCTTGTTAACTTCTTCTAAATTGTCACTTAAAGCAAATTTATGGTTTAAAATATAGTATGTGTTTGGTCAATTACTTTTTCTAATCTTGGGAGTAACATTTCTCTATAATTACCTTAAAATCAGGGTTTTAAAAAATGTTGATCGAGATTAGAATTGCATATTCTGGATTTGGAATCAGTGGAGCCAATCTGATGCCCATCATATATCAGGAACCAACCAATTCTCTGGGTTGTGACCTCTTTGTGCCAACTCAATAAATGACACATCTTCAACTACTTGAACTTACATCCTACAGTTAAAGATGGTTGCGACCTCTTTGTGCAAAAAAATAAACGATCTTATCATGTACTTTCCCACTAGTTATTTGGGGAACAATAAGATGGCCGACATTTTCTTTAATTAAAATTCAAATATTAATAATAGAAAGATACATAATATTAATGTTGGAGAATGAGAATTTACCTCCAGGAATTGGGTTGTCGATTATGTCCCTTATTATGCCATAGGCGTTCACATAAACGAGGTTGGAACCGGACATTGCCGGTCTCAATTGGTCTACAAGGGACCTCAACCGGTTATTGAATAGGAGGGCTACTTGATTTGGTCCCTCCACGCAGCTTTTCGAACCGGCTAAGCTGATCACCACAGGGGCGCAGCCCAAGGGCTGGATGGAAATTAGCACAAATTTTCTTGCCCCAAGGCCGTGTAATTTCTGCAAAAGAATAATTTTAGGAGGAAAAAGTTGATAAAAGGTTGCAACTTTAAATTGTAGAATTAAGAGTTTCATCTAAAAAATCCATTATAAAAGATTGTTTTAATGTTGGAAAACCCTCTAATTGATCTTCTCGATAATGACAAGTAGAATATGAAAAGAAACAATATTCGAGTCCCAAAAATAGTGTATCTTACAATACATTATCTGGACCGTCCATTTTCAAGATTTTCCAATATATATTGATTTGAAGCATTTTTAGAGCTTAAGATTTTATTATTAAACATGAAAATAGATTCTCATACCATCCTAAAAAAATTTTACACTTAAATTTATATTTACAATAAAATTTGGAGCTGCGCCTTAATTTAATTGTTTAAGGCTGCAACCTTATACACCCATTTTAGAATGACCATATATAAGAAAAAATTTATATAATGTTGTAACCGTACTTATAGAAATAAAGTTCTACCAATATGTACTATTGTTTGATTTGGACGGTTTTGATAGCAGTTGTTTTAAAAAGATGTGTTATATTATGATATTATCTTAAAAGATGTGTCAAATATTTATTATTACAATTAAAATAGACGGCATAGAACATTGCAACCTTATTGTTATAAGATTGCAATTTTATACATACCGCACCATTATTAAAGTGACCATTATACTTCGTATTAAGGGAAATTTGCATACGGATCAGGTTTTTTTTACCGTTATAACGGTATGGCCCAAAAATAGCATGTTATTACTTGGAAGGATGGATCTACAATTTTTTTTATCAAGTTTGTCCCGAATAGATATTTCAAAATTGGATCGCTTATTTACCCCCTTGAAAACTTGCTCTCTTTTCTTCTCTCTTATCTTTTCTATCTCGCCTGCTATCGGTCCTCTCTCTCTCTCTCCCTAGTTCAATCTTGCTCTCTCTCTCTCTCTCAAAGCCGTACTCCCATTACCCGCAGATCTCACTCTCTCTCTTTTATATTTGGTTTTTTTTTTAGGGACAAAGATTTGGGATTTTTTTAGGAGAAAAACTGTATGTTGCTCAAAGAAAGGATAACTTTTTTATTGTATTCAAATTGCATGTATATGTTTTATTAAATCACTTGATTTTAAAATTCTTTACTTGTTAACACAAGGCAATCCGATGGTTCAAACATCGGACCTTTTGATTCAATTAAAAAAATACAACAGAAGGCGGTTCGATGTTTCTAACATTTGACCGCATGGTTCACTCCAAATTTCAATAGGATGTACCGACGAACTGATTGATTCTAACATTGGACCGCTTCATTCACTCAATTTTTTAAACAAAATACAGTTTGATGTTTTAACCATTAGACCGTTTTTCATAGAAAGTTGTCACAGATTACGATCCAAAGACCATTGGCAAACTTGGCAAAAAATGATAAAGTATCGGGATAACCAAGTGGTCCAACTTTTTAAAAAAGTTAGATTGGAGACAAACTTGGTAAAAATTAAAAAAATTCAAAAATCCATCGTTCGAAGTAATAACGGGCTATTTTTTGGCCATACTGTTATAACGGTAAAAAAACCCGTTCTGTGCGTAAATTTCCCAAGTATTAATGGGGATCGTGGAGCCTACAAGATTGTTGTTTGTAAACTTTCTTTAATCGCTATTGTCCATTCTCCTTAGGGAAATTTATCACAATATTCCCCTTAGGAAATTTTATCACAATGCACTTTAGGGTTGGTACTTGGTACTAGGCTCGCAGCTTGGCTAGGCATACTTGATAGCTGGGCCTGGGCCTGGACAAGGGCCATGGCTAACTTGGTTCCATATTTCCTCTTAGTTTTTCTTTAAAAAAAATAAACCGAATCTAGTTGGTCGGGTTTTGCATTGTGCTAGCCCTTTAGGAACCCAAGGCGGGCTCAGGCCAGGCCCAATCCATTGCATACAGCTCCCAAGAGATGAGCTACTTAACGTTTCACCTAATTTTTTATTTAATTTAAAATGTTAATTAAGATAATTTGAGGAGAGGTTTCAATGACAATTTCTTTAATAATAAATGATAATTTTTTTCTAAAATAATAATAAACAAACAAAATGCTACTGTTTTAGTTGTTTCAAGAAAGAAAAATAAAATAATGTCGTTTTAGGTATACCTTGAGTTGCTCTGAGAGCCGTTGGATGACAAGATTGGTGAAATTTGACAAGTTTTGTCGTTGTGAAGGGGGTTGCTGGAGATAATTGAGCAAATAATCGTTGCCCCCACTTCCAATAACGAATATCGATTTTCGGAGGACGTGGCGCAGCTTCGCACTTCCAAATCGTGACTCCAATTGAGGCAACGTCACTGTCTCGAAGTTTTTGATTTGTTGATTCAGCGGAGTTACCCCACCCTGCATCACAAATTGTTTTGCAGAGATGAATATTTTTAAGCGGAGATTCGAAAAAATCACCTGTGTGTAGGGGGATTAGTCATAGCCAACCACACGACCCCTTGGGCACGTTTAATTCCAGTGAAAATATTTCTCGTAAAAAAATTATTTTTTGGAAAATATTTTTATGTGAAAATTTCTTTTATGTGATTAAGTGTTGGAATATTTTCACACCAACTAACTGCCAATTGGTATGAAAAATGTATCGAGACCGATTGGTGTAAAATTTTTCCCACGCCTAATCATATAAGGAAACTCTTTCACGTGATCGGTGAATTGGTGGTCTGGATTGGAGAATCAACCGGTTTTTGTCTCAAAAATTTAAAAAAAAAAACACTAAAAATCCATAAAAATAGTGTTTTTAGAGTTTTTTGAAAAATAGGGATCTGGTTATGTTCCTCAGATCCGGATTGAAAATCGTTTTGAGCGATCCGAATCCTGTAATATATCGAGATCTGGCCATGTTCCCTAGAACCAGCTTGTTCGAGCCAGTCCTGGTTCCTTACTAGAGAATTGGAGGGAGAACCGGAAGGTTCCTAATTGGAGGGAGAACCGGAAGGTTCCTAATGAACCAGATTTTTTCCATATTTTTTATTGATCCAGATTGATAATCATCTTGAGCGATCCGAATCCTGTAATATATCGAGATCTGGCCATGTTCCCTAGAACCGGCTTGTTCGAGCCAATCCTGGTTCCTTACTAGAGAATTGGAGAGAGAACAATAATGAACCAGATTTTTTCCATATTTTTTAAATAAAAAATATTCTGACGGGCCAGCAATTATCGCTGGGGTCCAACAACTTCACTTACATAAGGACCATGTGCAATTATCACAACTTCACTTACATAACCCTATTGTGCAAGTAATAGGCTTTTACACTTATTATCATCACACATCCTCCGATGTGGGATATTGTTTTGCTAATCTTTTTTCTGCAACTTATTTTTCAAAGTTAGACATTTTTCATTTTTCTACTTTTCCATTACATCTCTTTTTTTCTCTCTCTCTCTCTTGTTTATACATAGGTAAGTTCATCTACAAAAATGAAATTGTCTATAAAATAAAATTTATTTTTTAGATTTCTAATATATATATTTTTTATAATATACAAAAAATAAAAGTACATATAGTTAAGTTTTAATTATATATAATTACCAAAAAAAATCTATTTAATTAATTAACAAAATTAGTATAATTACATTGAAATTATTAGTATTTATTTATCTTAATAACTTTATATAATTATGTTGAACTTATGTCAGTATAATTATGTATATATGATTACATTAAAATTATGTTAAATGAATATAATTATGTAAAAAATTGTTAATTTATTTACTACAATTATGTTAAAATTATTATTGCTATATTGAAATTTTTATTGTTATAAACATTAAAACATCGCATAATTTAATATATTAAATTGTTGTATCACTAATCAATTGTTATTGTTATATATTATGTTATTTTCATATTTAATGTAGATTGTATTTTTAAATTAATATATTTACAATTTATACATATATTAACAAATAACTTGTTAATTTGTTAGTGTTACAGTAAGTTATAAATTTAATATAATTTTAAAAGGATAATCTTTACTTCGCAGGCCTTCAAATTGCAAAGGTTCAAGATAGAGAGAGTTGTGAATGGTGGATTTATGAATTTTGTAGTCTATTTTTTAAAAAAAGTTACTTTTGTGGGGCAATTTTGTAAATATTACTACACGACAATGAGTACTTTTGGGTAAAGTTGAAATTTTAACTAAATGATAAAGGCATTCTACAAATAAAATTTCACGATACTAACTTCCAAAATACCATTGTATTTTTGTTAAAATTTCAAATTTACCATTGTTTAATGGTAAAGCTACCTACTTAAATAATTTTTAATAAAAAATTAATTATTGTTTTGATAAATAATTACCTTATTAGGACAATGTGATAAAAAACAATGAAATGAAGTTGCGCCTATGTACCATGTCAAAAGTAGTTTCAATATCAGAAACCCCTACAATAGCCTAAAAATCTAATTTTGTTGCTCCCTAATTATGAAATTTAAAGCTTCAAATATAATGCAGATTGAGCAAATCTACAATCAGTTGAAAATCTTGATGATAGATGGTCCAAATAATGCATTACAATAACCTTTTTTGGACTTGAAAGCCATCTTTTTCTTTTTGTTTTTTTTTATATCCGTACATCTTGTGGTCAAGATAATTGATTGAAGTGTTTTCAGCTTCAGAACTACCTTTTCCGATGGGTTTTTATGTGTCTTACTTTTATAAATTAAAACTATTGCCTTAAAAAAAAAATTCCATATTTACTTTTTTGCACATGCCTTATATATATTTATCTATTTACACATGCCTTATATAATGTATGTAATGCATGGTAAAAGGTAAGAGAAGAAATCTTATTCAAAGCGAAATGCGCAAGGCAATTCATTCATGTATTTACAACCACAAAAAAAAAACATGTTTTACAGTATCCACAGTAGAGTACTTTGAATATCATATCTCTAGGAGATGCACCTTACTGCTTGACCACAGCATTCTAACCATTTGGATGACACAACAAACATTGCATAAAGGACCACATTTTGAAATCTCTAATTGAGCCTTGATATTCCCATGTTAAAATCGGCTCTGACCCTATCGAACTTGGCTGTTTATTAAATGTCTTTGTTGAGAATTCTTAGTCGAATTGGAAAGTCTAATGAAAAATTTCCTTTAGGGTTCTACATAAGAGAAAATAAGGTTTCACCTGACACTTGGGACAAAGTATTAGCTCCTAAAAGAAAGGGGGGAGTGAAGGTTAGAAAACTTAAACTAATAAATGAAGTCTTATTGACAAAGTGGTGGTGGAGATATCAGGTTGCTCTGATTGCCCCTCAATATGGAAGAACATTGGGACTTGAGCATTATTTATGGGGAATACCAGGATACAACTAGGAGGTGATAGAAACATCATTTTTTTGTTGTGGATCGACCCCTAAACCCTCAGATCCAGATTGAAAATCGTTTTGAGCGATCCGAATCCTGTAATAACAATTCATATAGGACCACTGTTCCTCATGCACCATGGCTCATATAATGAACTCTCACATTTAAACTTAAGTGAATTAGTTCAACCAGTTTAGTCCACTAAACCCTCTTAAACCTTTTTAAATAAGCACTTGACCACCCTTAACTTTCATAATCATGCCTAAATAATACTTAAACTTGTTAAAAGAAGCCTAAACCCACCTAAAATGGCCTAAACTCACCTAAAACTTGCCTAAACTAGCCTACACCTAGGCCAACACATTTAATCCTAGGTCAAAATCTAATAACACCATAACCCCCACTAAGCCTTAGTTTGACCCCACTCTTATGACCTTAAAACTCCTAATTTAAACCCATTACCTAAAACACACCTAAAACAGCTCATTTACGTGTTGATATGTCCTATCATATATAACAAAACAGGTGGCACGAAACTGCAAAACCATGAGGTCAACCATGTCTGCATAAGTATAATATTGTGCTCTGCTGGTGATATACGGCCCAGATTGAGCCGCCACTTGCAAGAGCTATTATCTAGGTCCTATCCTATAAATATCGACTGTCACCTACAACATATGGGGCCCATACCTTAGAGAATTACGCGAAACCCGACTAAAGCTAAGAACCTTAATTTTCTCTCTCATAGACCTCTAAGCCTAAATTCCAAACATCTGAAGCTTTATCCTAGTCAAGATATACCCTCAAGCCACTAATCGAATTGTAGATTGTTGGTTACTTCTGTGTCCCCTAAGCTCTTCCTTTATACCCAAGGCTTAGGATTCAATTCAAATCTAGGTTAGTACCAACTCAATCTTAATATGGTTCAATCTTAATTGGACAACTCTAAGAGGCAAAAGACGTCAGCGCAACAATCTTGGATCTGAAGTCAGATCACCGACTCTGGGTGCCGAGCCTATGGACTCGATTTTCAAGTAAGTTCATTTTTTTTGCTTTTCATTGCAATTTTGCTTGCATATTTCGTATAGTTTAGTCTTAGTTCCCTATTTCGAAACCATTTTCTAAATATTTCACCTTCTTTGCTCTAGAATTTTCAAAACTTCTTATTCACGAATTTTCAATTTTATCATCTACCAGTGTTTCATGAGAGAGCGATAGGCCTACCACCCTTTCGGATCATAATTTAATGGAGCTCCAATTTCTACCTCTGATTAACTATGTTCATGTTCGAAAGTGCTTGGGGTCGTGGCTTAAGAGTCGTGTCCCACCTCGCTGCCCTCAGGCATGTTGTGACCAAAAATGTAGAAAGTGGTCACATTAATTTTGACCATTGGATGTGAAATTGAGTGGTTGCATTTATTTTATTAACCAAACTCAAACTTCAAAAGAAATTTTATCGAACTTTATAACATATCCAAGCTATCAAATTTCGCATGGAATGGTTGTAAGTAATTGTGATCACTTTGTATAAAAGGTCCTATACAAATATGCCGATCTTTTTAAAATCAAAATACAAGACGCTTACAATATTCATAGATGCTCACTCGCATCAGTGTCTGTGTAACACACTTTTGGGTCGATGCACATGGAAATATAACCCCCTTTTCATTGGAAAAAAGCGTTAAGTAAATCTTAGACGCAGTTGGCATGCAGGCCAAGTCCGCACATGTAAAAATGCGGCACCTCTTAAAAATATATTATTGAGATGGATTTTTGGGCTTAATTTTTAAGGAGATGTAATCTTTAACGTGGTGATCAAATCATGAATATGGATAAATAAATAAATAAATTTTAAAAATTAAAAAAATAATTCTATTATGAAAACATTTTGATCATTGATTTCAATTGTTTTTAGATAGACCATCTAGTCGCATCGATCTTTAAGATAGATACTTTATACCGGGGACCGTGCATCATAGAAAGGCAGTCCAGTCGGCCGGAAACAAGTTTCCTTAAAGTAAATCTTAGTTTCATCCTAGAAACAGAAGCGTAGCTTTTCTACGGTAATCAAAACAACGCTAAAAGAAGCAGCCAAAGGAGAGAGAGAGAGAGAGAGAACTTACAGCAATAGAACCAGTCTCATCCAAAATACCAGAGCCACCGGATGCATAATTAACGCCTCTAAGAGTCACATTTCCTTTGCTTCGAGGATCAGCAAAAGCAGGAAGAAGCCTTGGAATCTTTACAAGCTGCCCTAAAACATCAGCTGCGTTCAAGCCATTAGAGAACCTTCCTGAAGCTCCACCAGGAAAGTCTATGCCATAAGGGAAGTAATCAGCCCTTGCAGTCGAGTTTCTTATGAAGTTGTTGTTTCCATTATCCACAATAGAGCTCCCAAACACAAACATGGCTTTCACACGCCTGCTCTCTCCCTCTCGAAAACAAAGGAATAGCAAGACAGAGAAAATGCGGAGAAGAAGGGCTTTGGGGACGTGGGTTTTCATGGAGTTGCAAGGCATTGTTCACAAAAGCTTTCAATATCCTCTCTCTCTCTCTAGCTCCTGTAAATAAATGCGTGTTTGGAAGTAGCATCTATCTACTATATATATATCTTGAAATGGGAAGATAATGGAGAGGAGAGAGAAGAGGGAAGGTGTTATCAGTCTCATTGGGAGTTTACTAAAATTTCTTTAACAGGTCCAACAAGAAAAGTAATAAAGGTGTAATGCAAATGGTCCCTCATTTTCTCAAAATAGCCAACTATGGTTTTATATTTTTAGGCAGTTGAGCCTAAATCCATGACAGTAGGGATCTTGAAACTACATTTGAGACAGACCCCACAAATGTATGGTGCACTTATACAAAGTAAGTTAACCCCAACTTTCAAATGCCAACTTTTAGAACCATTATGTTCATCTAACAAAGCTAAATTCTTTATTCAAAGATGATTAGATGATGGAGTTTACGTAAGGCCTAGGTTTTATGAAAGAGACCATTTATTTTGTATACAAAGAGGTCACAATTACTTATAATCATTCGATGTGAAATCCGATAGCTTGGATGTGTCATGAGGTTCAAGAAAATTGCTTTTGAACTTTGAGCTTGGTCAATGGAATAAATGCAACCACCCAATTTTACATCCAAAGGTCAAGATTAATTGTGATCATCTTGTACCAGATGTAAATGGTCTCATTACATATTTTTCTTTTATAAAAACAAATAAAACCCCCACGTCAAATCCTCGTCCAAAAAGCACTTTTGGCGACAAAAATCTGCATAACAACTCTAAAATTAATTTCTAATACCGACAATAAAATTTGAAACTCAAAAAATGATACAGATCTTGTACATTTGGAAAGACTTATTTTTAGGGTGAAATGGATGGTCTAGATATTTTGTTACAACATACACTTTTTAGATCTTGAAATTCGAATTTTCTTTCACAACCATAATGTTCAAATGGAGATAATCGATGTACAGGTTTCCCAATGCTTGAATTGTAATTTTCGATGAGTTATGAAGTGAGGTTTTATTTATTTTGATAGAGTTGCAGCCCTATCAAACGATTTTCTACGGTTAAAATACTACTCTAGCAAGTATCAACTCAGGGCATGTTTTTAGCATGGAGAAATCAAGGTGATGACCTTAAGACTGCCTTCCAAATCAAGGGCATTCAATTACAAAAAGTATACAATAAGATTGTTTTTTTAGCACAAGGAAATGATGATCACACATGATTTTTTATATATAAAATATCATTTTTAGGAGTGTGTCATTGATCATCCTCAAAGTCTTAAAAAGATTTTTCACAAACTTGGCGAACATCCTTAGCCATGAAGTTCCACATCCGACGGCTCTCTTTTGGGTACTACCATAGGGTTAAAAATAGTTTTCTTTTATTTTTTATTTCCCCTATTTTTTTTTATGGATGTAATTTATATATGTGTTAACCTTAAATATTAATGTACTTCCAAACCTTGCCAAAGTAGTTCTGGTGCAAAAAACCCTATAATATCCTGTAAATCTATTTCCATCTTTAATTATGAAATTTAAAGCCTAAAAACCAATGGAGATCAAATATATTTATAAGTACTTGAAAATTGAAGGTCCAAATAATGTATTACAAGATACACTATTATAGAACTTAAAATATTTTATTCTCCCTATCTATACATCTCGAGGACCGGATGATCAATTGGAGGTTTTCCAACATCAAAGCAACAGTTCCCATTGGTTTTTAAGGTGTTAACTTTGGGTGCAATTTGCATAGAGCTTAGGCTCTAAACAATCAAATTAGAGCCCACCTTCAAATAGTGTCAAGAAATGTGCTTTCAATATTAGAAATAGTTGTGATAGCTTTAAAATATATTTTTTTTTTTAATTATAAAATTTAAAGTTTAAAAAATAGTGTAGATCGAGCATATCAATAAAAACTTGAAAATTAACCGTCCAAAAATGTATTATAGGATGCACTATTTCAAAACTTGAAATCTATTTTTTTCTCATGTCCATGCATCTTGATGTTGAGATGATCAATTGAGGATATTTAGGTATCAAAACAACCTCTTCTAGTGAAATTTATGAGGTAGCTCTAATTTGGCGCCTTATATAAACTTATTTTTAATTAAATATTTCACATTTTAATAACTTATTGAGTGCATTTCACAATAAAAAAAGGAAGAGAAATTTTTGAAGAGGCGAAATTAGAAAACTTTGTATATTCAAATATTCACATATAACCAAATATATTTTTAGGAAAGATCCAGATGTCCCTCAACATGGTCTAGGTTCCACCACCTAAATGTGAATAAATACTTTATGGCAACATGAAGGCCAAAAATTTTCACAACTTTAAAAGCCTACTTTGGTAATTTATATTGAAATGAAGTGTAATTCTAGAGAATTTCACATTGAGGTGATGTCTAAATAATTGTATGGTCAGGCCAATAAATTGGCTACCAAATCCGACGGCTCAAGGACGCTTTACTAGGGTTAGGGTGCCACTTGGTGGGCCCAATAATTTAAGTGCTGCTCCCATATAAATAACGTGCATTAAATGGTTGTATTAATAAAGTCAATTTATTCAACGAGAGAAAATAAATTAAAAATTAAAAAAAAATGAGATTGGGGTTGGTATCATGGAGTCCTACAAATTCAATTAAAGTCTTTCTATTCTCATTAAAAAATGAAAACGTTTATATAGAGCCTAGGCTCTAAAGAATAAAATTTGATCCTACATCAAAAATTTCACTTGAAGCGTTTGTTCTAATCCTCAAATTGATCACCTCGATATCAAGATGCATAGACATGAAAAAAATATATTTCACGTTTTGAAAATAGTATATTTTGTATTTTTTTTTTTTACTGTTCAAGATTTTCAAGTTTTTATAGATTTATCGATATACACTATTTTTTAAGCTTTAAAATTTATAAATAAAAATAAAAATATATTTTACAGTTATCACAAAGATTTTCAGTATTGAAACTGCATTTTTCGATACTATTTGAAAATAAACTCTAATTAGATTGTTTGGAGCCTAGGTTCTATACAAATCCACCCAAAAAAATCACTAATAATTAAAATAAAAATATTTATGTCCTCTAAAGCTTCCTTGGATCCTTCCCCTCATTTAATGAGCACCAATTAAGGCTGCCAATTTATAAGGCATACTTTTTTCTCACTTAAGGCTGCATTACAATGTCTCTCTCTACCCATCAAAATTGTCACTAGTATATCTCTCCCTCTCCCTCTCCCTCTCCCTCTCCCACTCTACCCTCTCTCCCTTTGGTATATAACCCCAAAATAAAATCCATTGTCGCACAAATTTATGGCATTGAATTTTTCATTTTTTTAAGATGCCGATGTGACGGTCAATAGTTGAGAAAAGATTTTGATGGTGATGATAGTGACGTACTTTTCATTTTTTTAGAATGTGGTTTCATATAAAATGCAACTTTAAACAATCAAAGCATAGTGCACCTTCAAATTTTATCAAAAGATGCATTTAGGTATCAAAAATAATTAGGACGGCGAGAGAATCTATTTTAATTTTAATTATGAAATTTTGAACTCCAAAAATTGCTCAAGCCAAGTAGATCTATAAACACATGAAAATCTTGAAAATGGATGGTCGAGACAATATGTTGCATGATGCCCTATTTTTTGGACAAAATCTTTTCTTTTTTTTTATATCCATACATCTCGATATTGAGATAATCAATTCGAAGGTTTCTCAATATCATATCATCCTTTTATGAGGTGGACTTTAATTCTAATTTAAAGTTGCCACCTGATACACAAAGAAGCTTACTTTTCTTTCCTATTTAGTGCATGGTCAAAATTGAAGGATTTATCGATGAATATCTAATTAAAAAAAAAGGACTTAATTGGTTAAAGCTGGTAGATTTACTACGCTACGTCCTATGCTCAATTCCTACAAAAAGTAAGCCCTCTCCCACGGAATTCCTATCAAAAGTAGGCCCTCACCAACGGCGGAAAAAAAAAAAAAAAAAAAAAGGAAAAATCTCTCCGTGGCAAACTATCATGGAGCAATTACTGGTGTTTGTTTCAACTCATTTACTTTTGACACAGCTGACAGTTTATGGGTGAGAATTGTCCCGAAAAGTTCCTACAGTTTATGGGTATGAATTCCTAGGACAAGTACCCTTCTTCTTTGGGTTGTAGTCAAATCGTGGAATGGTCATTGTCTTTCGAGAAAATTATAAGTTCATAAGACCACACGTTCTATGCATTTTATCCCAACCAACTTTTTTTTTCATGACAAACTTTATATGCAAATACCGTTTCAATAGAAAAATTTTATTTTTTAGATAAATTGTCAATCCCGTATACAAAAATTATTTGAAAAAACTACAAAAAAACCCGTAAGTCCATACTTTCTATGTAACGTACCCCAACCAACTTTTTTCTCACTTTTTTTTCTAAGATAAATTTTATATGCAAATACCCTTCCAAGGGAAAAAGTTTATTTTTTAGACGAAAATACCAATCCTGTATACAACAATCATTTTGGTCAGATTTGACGTTGACTTTTGGACCTTAGTAACACATTGCCGGAGTACACTATCATATTGCCGGAGCGCACAAATGCTGGACCACCATAAGACAACTATCGGACTGAAATTGAGTACTGTCGAACCACACTTTACGTAGTGCCGGAGACCTGAAATCTAGTAACAATCGGACCGTCCTTTTCAATTGCCAGACCACACTTTACACAGTGTCGGAGCCCTACTGCCAGACCGCACTTTACACAATCTCACTTTATAATGTCGAAGCGCTACTGCCAGACCACACTTACACAATGTCGGAGCCCCAATTTCGGTGGGATAGAGGAGAGAGGAGAGAGTAATGTAAAAGTAAAGAATGATAGTTTAGGCATTTTTATTTTTATTTGGTTGGGGGTATTTGAATAGAAAGTGTATTTTGAGGGGAAAAGTGAGAGAAAAAACTACCTTAGAGATAAATTGCATAGAAATTGCAGTCTTGGGGGTTTTTTGTAATTTTATTTTGTTTTTTCATTGTCTTGTGAGTTGACCAATTACTTTTTTAAGCAAACTATTAAACTCCCCTATATTAAATTTTATAATAGCAATGATGTTTGGAAAGAGGTTATACAAAGTCACAACTTTAAAATGTAGAATTACATATGCACCTCTTTATGATGAAAAACGCTCTAAATAATCATCTCGAGAGCAAGATGTATGAATAAAATAGATTTTGAGTCTCAGA